GATTGACTCTTGATGCGTTCAAGCATGACACTCCTAAATGCTTCTGCCGAAGCACTACAAAGAACGGAGATGACGTGATGACGTTGTCCGTCTTCAGACCTAATTGCTGCTACTTCTATCCTCACCTCTTGTACTTCTTCCTTCGTCTTTAGCATCATCTCCTGCATTTCACGCTCACGTCCGTCACATTGTGAATGACATTATCATTCTGTTGTGATGAAATCATAACCTGTTGAACTAAATCGGTGGCCCGATACGCTACTTCTGCGCGAAATGCTGTAAATGACAGATAGGAAGGAAGGACCTGGTAGTTCAAAGGTAAGTTTCCAAGTGAATGTATTCTGCTTTTAGCTATGTAATTATGCGAATGGTTAGGAGTTTTATAACTCCTCCTGGTTTACTTAGGTGAAGACTTAACTTGTTTCCATCAAGAACTCGGTCATGTTCCAAACATAGCATCAGCGCTTTGTTCTCGCGGTTTACAAACTAGGAAATTGCTCGCAAGAATGGCACTAACGTTCTGTACTTCTGTAGACGAGATATCGGGTCACGGGAAGATTTGATGCCCGATATGCCGCGGTTGTGTCTGGACTGCTAATCCAGGCGTATCGTGGACGCTTTAGGTCTTAGTTTACTCGTCAATCAAGGCAAGAGCTCCCAGACGATTCCAGGAGGTGCAGCTTTGCTGCAGTGCTGGAAGACCCTGGCGACAGTTATTATCTTCACGAACGAGTGCATCACGTTTCAAGTTACGTTGTGAAGAAGCGGTCGTTGTCGCATTGAATGCGGAGTAGAGCTCTCTCACAACAGGTGCAGTTGGGGTGCAGGAACTGGTTGATCAAGAATACATCAAACGGCGATGAACCTTTGAGTGAAGAGAAATATCTCTTGGCTGCATTAAACATTATCCCCTTGCGTGCTCTTTTTTTTCTTACTGGGAGTTGTGCTACCACACATGTGTGGTCAAACAAACCTTTTGACAGTTCTAGTAGATGCAAGGCGGCCCGCTGGAAAAGATGTGTGTTTTATTGATACATCGTGGAGGTAGATGACCTAACTATCCATGCATTAGTTAGCTGAAGTAGCGCTACTGCTCAGTAACCTAAATACTATATCCCTAATAAATTGATTTAATCCATGTTCTCTATTAAAACGTTAGACAAAGTTTTGACTATAATTGTCCCTAGGTCTCTGACGGGGGTCGTTACTTCCGTTGTGTGACTGTCGCTCTGCATCTTGTTTAGCTAGGACATCACTGCTTGTACTCTTGCCCTGTTTCTTCAGCAACGCAGCTGCTTTCTTTTGCTTCTTCGATGAACGTACAATGGCAGCAAGCGTAAAGAAAACAGTTATGACCGCGACACCAACTGACATTGCAAATGGAGGACCATACGAATTCGTTCCAACAGATCTTGAGACTAAACTTGATACTGACCCTGACACAGCTGTCGTACAACGTGGACCACCCCATGACGACGAATACGTACATTCACATCGTTTCTTGACACACTTGCCAGTCTTCAGTAGTGTCTTGCCTAAAGTTCCCCCGATCGTACAATCATCATCTTTCGTACAAAAAGCCTTTCCAGCAACATCTTTATGAGGATTGTCATCGTCTTCGTATTCATCAATATGACCTTCAATCCACAATTTCGTTGGATGAGTTTTGGGATCACAACCAATAGACATGTAATTGTCATCATCAAGATCATCTCCCAAGTCCTGGTACAAACGAATGTAGTCAATCTTGAGATACAAAGGAAAAGCATCGCAGATAGTATTAGCCACTTCATCTGTGCCATCACCGCGACATTCCTTCCCAGCATTTGGAGGTGTCGCACCCCACGAACTCGATAACGCGACATTGAAAATCACATACAATGGTTCTTCCAACATGATTTTCTGGGGATTTGTACGTTGTGCATTCTGCGGTACGTTAATAATCGAAGAAGAAGGAACTTCAAACAAAGGACTGCCTTCTAACATCCAACGCACGTAACCATTTTTACCAGTAACCCACTCGAGTTGATATGTCACATAATCCATGTAAGCACCAACGTGAACGGGCCAATTAGCTGATATGGCGTCCATTTGATAGTTAAACGGACTCATAGCATTAGACTTTGGTGTTGTCTTTTCATCTCGTGGCATGGCACACTTTACAAATGTATTGTCTGGGTCACACAAGTACGCACCTGTGTAGACATTAATAAGTGGAAAGCACGTGCCATTCGAGTTAATACCCCAGTGCTCATCGCCTACACCGTCAATTAAAGTCAAATCACCATTCACATCTCTTGAAGCGGGGCAAGTATCCAGCGAGCACCAGTTTTCAGTAATACCGGCTTTTAAAGAAGCAGCAATGGTCTTGTAGTCTTGTTTTTTGTCAGCTTCTGGTTGACAATAATTGTTTGCTGCGTATCGCATTCCTTGGTACCACGACTTGCGTCCCCGCTCTTTCTGGTAGAATGCTGTCGGAACATCCGGTAAATTCGCCCCAGGTGTTTGGCAAACATTCATGTAGATGCACGACGGATCTTCCCCACCAACATATTTAATGCGGTAGTCATCAGGCATTCCTGGTCCAATTTGAAGAGAAGACGACACGAGAGAAGCGGAGCCTTCAAGCACATCGATTTCAGGAGCACCACGACCTTGATTCGGGTTTAATCCAAAGCCTGGGTCGTCCGTACACGCACTAATACGTTGATAAGTTGGGTCAAAGAGATCAGGCTCACACTTATCGTAGGAAAAAGGCCACATGCGATTTGTTGAGGCTGAAAAAATGGCACGACCGAGATTTCCCATCATCCAGATACCAGGCCACGTTGGATAATATCTTCCTGATGCAACAGGTGTGTCCTTCCCCGTCTTTAAATCAGGATTACCCGAATCAGGATCAACTACTCCAGGAAGTTGAACGCGAGTTTCAATCATTCCACCTTGATAACAAAATTTGTTCCACGATTGAACCATTGCAGCACGATAAAAAAAGTAAGCGTCCACAAAACCAGGAGGGTGTGTGTACATATTATAGACGTGAATAACATTGAATTCGTCGATGGCTTTAATGTAAAAGTAACATGTTTTATCGTCGTCACATTTTGTCGACGTCATATTGTGGGAATATAATTCCAATGCACCATTCACACCATCCGGTTTCTCAAGTGACGTCCACATGTGATCTTGACCAGGTCGAAAACTACGATTTGGTGTATTAAATTCATCACTCATTGTCAAATCCCAAATTCGACCACGTGACGACGTGTACTTTTGACGATTAGCGGGTGTTGCGGGGTCAACCCATGCTCGAATACCAGATTTTGTTGGGTACGTTGATGATTGTGGTTGCTCTTCTTTACCTCGAACGAATGTCAGTGTGATAATCCAAAATATTCCCACAAATACTTGCGTCGAGAAACGAGCCCACATCGGTATTTCTAGAGCTCGAACACACAAAAAAAAATATTACAAGACTTGTGATCTACGAGCGGCAGTTTATCGAGTGAGACGACACATGGCGACGATGCATAGAATGTAGCAGATCCCAAAGCTAAAGTCCTCTCCTATTGTGGGCACAGTTTTTTAAAAACAGAGAGTCGGAATTATTCGGATTTTGGTCGCGGTTTTACGCAAAAACGCTCGATTGTATACGCACTGTACTCTATTGTGGTTATAAATAATTTGCTTTTGTTGTATTATTAGTTTCCATAACCCTGTTAAATCTTATACGACTTGTCTCAAACGTTAATGTAAAATTACCGTCAGCATAGAGAAAGTTAATGTCCTGAGCAATTTCCTGGACACACTGTGATAGTAGATACATTACATACACACTTTGCACCATATTTTACAAAGTACAGTCAACAGCTGATTTCTAAGTTTCCTTGAAGCTGACGTATGAAAATCAAGTAAAAATTGAAGAATCGATGCCTTAAGCGAATTCGTTACTTTGTACATGATCAGCATGGAGTTTATAGTGTAAAAGTATGTGACTCCTCTGTCGTTGGTTGCACGGTCGTGCGTCGTGCTGTCTAATCGTGCGGTGAAGAATTGGAGTGGTCCAGACGTGCCACGTGATTTTCGAACTTATGTTACCACATAAGTTTGTAATGTCAACTTTTTTAGAAGAATGTGAGAATTTAGCAGATCCCAATCTTTTGAGAAATATTCTCTGTCAGTTATCCCCGCCATCCTCTTTGTACTGTGAATGATAAATGCAGCACGTGTCTGCCATCTACAAGTCCAAAGTTCTCCCTTATGCAATAGTCGTACCGCCCAGTAGGTTAAAATTAAGCTGCTGAGATCATAAATAGCAATTTACCGCTCAACAAAGCGGATGCTGTAGAAATTCATTTATAGATAGGAAGGAGCAGTGAATCTGATCTACTCGGTTCATTGAGGATTTACTCGATTGTTCCGCTTGGTTTGTCGACTTTGGTGTATTCGTCGAACCCATCGCTGCTGATCTCGTAAGGACAGAGTCCTGTATATATTGGAGAGGCTGACGTCTTGGGTTCATCATATTGTAGCATCTTTCTAATCATAAAAACGACGGGATAATATGTTTATCAGGATAACCATGTGTAATTCTGGCACCTAGAGAGCTGGTTTAATGCAGAATACAAGCATGTCAGATTAGATTCTATGACTGTTGAAATGGACCATTAAAAGTCGTTCGAGACTCGTCACGGTCCATGTTGATGAAGATCTAATCTGTAGTCAATTTGAGCGCGACAGTCTTTGGTGATCACTCAGTGAATTCAAATCATATCACTATTGAGTTTGTAACGGGGTACGTATCCTAATATTCCATGTGTAGCAATTAAAGCCAGACTTATTCTGAATACATACGATTTTCAAGCTAAAGAACCAAAGTATAGGAATACCTTACACATGACATTTGATACAATTATATGAGATAAAGTATTGCACAATTGTCCGAAAGTCACATGGTAACTTGTGAATACTGATAAGTGACAAAAACATCGGTTTATGCGGATGATAAAACACTGAGATAGGGATGACCGTCATACACGCGAGCACATCAGGAGAAGTAATGAAAACTTCATTAATCTCAACGGCAAATATAATAGATAAATCTACTTTTAAATAAGCGGAGCTAACAGCCACTGAGTTTGGATTAAGGCTCCAAGGTGGTAGAAGTCCACAAACCCAATCTCTGTGCGCTCGATAACTGTGAATTGTCAAAGTTAACGAGCGCACAAAATATTTTCAGTATGAGCGTCTTAACCGGATGCCGCGGTAGATCAGATGGCTCTCATTGTTAGAGCGCTGACGTTGAGCATTTGGGTATATAAGGAGGATAGCGAAAACATCAGTCCCGCTGAGATGTTCATGATTTGGCTGCACGCAAAACAAAGCGACGATACATCGCAACTGCGGTCGGCAAAGTAGAAGATAGCGCTCAAGCTCCCAGACAGGGTCGTCCGACGCGTCATTCGAGATGAAAAGTCGAGTCCAACTAGGCGCAGAGTGGCTTATGAGGAAAGATCTGTGTTGTATCATTCCTCTTGAAGCTCATGGTCAATTTGAGCCAAGCTCAAGCGACGCTTTTTAACAGCGGTGGGACTCGCAGCCCCGGTTGGATGAATATTATCAGCGAACGACTGGGTTATGTGAGTCACGAATCATGGAACTTATAAGCATTATGTTATTCTGTGCGACGCTGTCGGAAACAGTTGAAAGAACTCGGAAGCGTTGAAAACGTCAGATACAATGATGATACCCGTATGTTTTGTACCTCACTATTCTAAGTCTTGAAGGTGATCTTTTGGCTGGAACGTCATAAGCCGTGATACGACTAATATTTATAGATTCATGATGACACAAAGTTTTCAGATGGAGGTTTTGCGTGTCTGAACCTACCATTTTCCAGGAATTATAAGCAAATTTGGTGCGGATTCGAAGCTTTGATAGCTTCCGAATCGGGCATGACTTTGGTCAAAACTGATAGCAATGGTATTGTATGAAGCCTCGGGTAGACATCGAAAGACAGAAGCAGCAATAAGCTGTTATTTCAGATTGACACAGATGTGAGACTGTATATATTCATAGCTCCGAGTATCTCCGGTGGTACACTTATAGAGATATGATTTGCTGTCTATGCCAAGGACGGTAATGATTGAAAGCAAAGGGTGTCGCAGTCTCCTGTGCCAAAAGGGCGACTCGCCCTTGTCACAATATGTGGGTACCGTTTAGTCTGCACTAGTGTGGGTCAGGTCTCCAGTGCAGAGGTAAAGCTTGACGAAAAAATTATTCACTTGTCAAAAGAGTGGCCAAGGTAGCTCAAGGGGTTATAAATTTGTAGCACAAATGCCGGCAGAATTTTTACTGAAATGATGGAATTATTTCTCAAGGATATGAGAAAGAGGCTGCATGACGGTAAAGTCACCTATTTGAATATATTGACTTCAGAGGAATATGTCAGCGATTATCCGTACCGGATGAATTTTTTATTTATGACACTCGCCAAGCACTAAACAAACGAAGCTGGATAGCTATCTTTAAGGATCCTTTTGATCTTCAGTAGGAAAGCTATGACGTCACGACGATGTAAAACGAGGATAGAGGAGTGCGTCATCAAATCAATTTGGTTTCAGAGCCAAATTTGGCTTAACACGGTAGCGACTCTAACCAAAGGGGCATCGTGGCGCCAATAACGTTTTTTTTGCTTGAAGCACGAATGTGCCTTAGCCAGAGAAAGTACAACCTCACAGAAAGCACCTAATTCTGTGTCATCTAGCTATATGGGATGTCATAAAATTTGCGTGCCTAGAACAAGCTAATTGCAGTCACAAATCCGGCGCAAACTCCTACCCCTGGAAAAGATGATCTGCAGAACAGCAGGTTTGGCGTACGTCGCTCAGTGCCCTCGAACTAATTGACGTTCATTATAACTATTGATGAGAAAGTGTGACCAATATGGCTCTCATCGCGATGCGTATCCTGTCTGGAAATAGCTAATTTTGCCACATGGAGTGTCTATTACGCCAGTGACGCTCAATTGCCTGTTGACACAGCTGTTCAGGCCGTAATATTGCATCGTAGATATCAACCTCGAAGACATACGCTTTAGGGTCGAGGCGATCGGGAGGTAATAACGAACATCAGCGAGCGAATTTATTTGACATGTCGACAGGTGTGTCATTAGCGCTGTTAAAATTGAAATTAGGTTACTTTATTGAGAAGTAGGGTACGCAAAATTTCCTGTGAGCTTCAATGTTATTGTGGATTAGGAAGTGAGTTGGTTCACTTCATGCACAAGAACAATTCGAACTATGCCGATATGGTACAATCCCTCATCCAATTTCTTCAGAGTTTGTGAAGTAGTGTCGGGATGCGGTGGGATTGGCGGCCTTTGATGCTAAAATGAAGACATCATACGTGCCCCGTTTCTGGCTCCATATTGGCTAGTTTACGTCGTCTGTGACGCTTCAACGTCTGCGCTTTGCTTCAAGTAGATGCAAATGATCATGAAAACGAAATCGCTTATAAATTTGGCCAACTAAAAATGTGCAATTCCGTAAATGAGAAGAGACAGATTGCAACGAAAGATGCCATTGTCCAGCTTAAACTGCATCTGCTTTGCTCGAAGCCATCTGTGATCCATACGAAGCATTCGTTCTTGCGACCAGCGACGTGCTTTGTTCATTTTACCTGGAATGAAAAAGTGATTCTATTACTTTGCCGAATTAAGTCTGAGTAAAGTACTGACCGGGTCTGTATGATGTGTAACGAGTGCACTTTGCGCTACTCCGAGGACAATTTATCGCATGTCATAAGGGTCACGCCACGTGTCGGTCAGGCTTCACGTTTACGACAGCGTACGGGTCAGACGCAACATGTATTGCGAAGCGGGGGGGGACAGGATATTGATCTCGGAGACTGTTTCTTGGAAGATTTAGGTAGCGAAATTTTCCTCCTCTTTTTCTAAAGTGTTATAGTAGGTCTCACTCGACTCACTGAAAAGTGTGGTCAATCGTACTAAGGCCTTCGAACACATGATGCTGTATAGTACAGACACAGAGCTTATCAGATTATTACATTCGACCTGATGTTAATACCGATGGACAAACAAGCACGAACAGTGTATCGTTTCGACAGGTGCAGCCTTTATATTCGTCGACATGAGAATTCCGACAATCCATTGAGAACTCATTCGCATCTTTTGGGCATCCAAAGGTTGCGTCAGAAAATACGGCGTTGTAAATTTCTAGCCGTCTGGTCTACAAACCATTAAGAACTCATTCGCATCTTTTGGGCAGCCAAAGGTTGCATCAGAAAACACGACATTGTTAATTTCTAGCCGTCCAATCTAGTCTCACTGCTGACGGCAACATCATTGAGTAGTGGGATACAGTCGTTTTGATCCTCAAACAAGCTCTTACAAATAGGGCTTCCAGCTGGACATTGTCTACAATCAAGATCCATGCTTTATAAGGGAGTACTCATGATTCTGGGCACCAGATTGAACATGTCTGCAGAGGACATGCTTATTCTGGCGCCCAGTATCTTGAGTACTCCCTTAAACAACCCCCATCCATGTAATAGACAGAACACATCTATCGCTGGGTAGATGATATCCTTTCAAGCACTTGCATGGAGAGATCGTGGTACGAGAACAATTTTTACATTTGCATTCGCGTTCGCATTCAGGTCCAGGTTTTGTAAAAAGTCTGATCAGATTCCGTGATCATTTGGAACCGCAACGAAGAGGCCCGAATTTTTTGTGGGACGGGGTTGCCAGTAGCTCCTGACTTGCTTATATCATTCAGGCGAGACTCTAGAGCAAAATCAGCAATTCTATATCGGCAATGTTGAGCGTCATACTACAAGTGCGCAATCATTCGTCACCAATGAGTGTGTGAAAAAGTGCTACAGGTAGATGAAACACATATGAATATATAGTGAGTAAAAACGTTTCGTTGAGGGTGGTCAGCCTACTCTCACGTGCGATGTCTGCAGTTGATAAGACAAAGTTGCGTCTTCGCTACATCGGACCTTTAACTGTCTTAGCTAGTAAATTGAATGACACACTCTCTATACCTCAGAATATGATGATACTTCCTGCGTTGTATCTGGACTTTCTTAAGACGTATCATGATTCCGTTCTCACAAGTCATTTACAAGCAGGATTTTCTTACGACAAGAAATATTCAACAGTCCTTCGTAGTTGAGTTTTTTCTTCTTCGTCTTGATCGACGATCCGGTTCTGACCTCTGGCATCACATCAGGTCAGTTGGCTTGAACGGGCACTTCAAAAATCACGGTAAAACAGACGTCAGATTCAACCGCAGGCATAGACTCGCGGTGAAAGTCAGTATGCCGCTATAAGCGCGAGAATAACCAAAAAGGCATTTCGACCGGATGCTTGGCAGGTGAGAAGGGAAGCCTGTTTTCAAGTCGCACGGATTGTAAATTGGGCCGGGAAGTTTATTAGGGCCGGGAACAATATCTGATGAAATGGAAGTAAAATTTTTAAATCTAGGGCATGTACATATTTAGAAAACCATTTAACAGCTTGCTTTGGCATTATTATTGCTTTTTACTTGGCGCAGTCTCGTGCAGCGGAGCGCACATTCTACTCGCGAACTACGTTTAAATTGTTTGAAACTTTCTACTTGGTCGATTGTTGTACCATCAGTCTCATGAGAATCAGCGGGGCCTCATCCTAAAACAGTATTGGTCTCGTGTGCTCTACCCCGGGCCGAACCGATATATCTCAAGTAAATGTTGAAATTATCTAAAATTCTATCTCGAGAGCAAAATATGTATATACTGTAGTACAGCTGAAAAGTAGATCTGCGCAATAATGTTCAGAAATTAATATTTATGTGCATGACGCGAGGCTAACAGCCCAAGTGTCTCGCCTTCAGGAGCCTTATGGTCACAGGCCACCACTTTTCTATCCACTTTAAGGGATGTATTTCTCGGGCTAAATGCGGGCAAAAGCGCTTAGTACTATTCAATTAATTACATAGTGGGATCGATATACCGTCGCGCCTTATCCGCCCCACAGTTTTGGGAGTCATCTTCAAGGAAGTTGGCGTTCGAGGTGAGAGGTAATCGATGGTTGAATATGAGATGTACAGATAACGACGTCGTGTCGAGGTGAGAATTAATTCCTCTAAGCTTTTGTTAAAAGCCTTGCTCCGCTTCTGAGCCTGTCGCCATAGCCACGGTCAAATCTCGAACATGGCCCAGTACCGTGGATCAATCTCTAGTGTGAAGCGTGTTGCGCTGCGTAATTCTGTCTAACGTATGTTGAAAACGTATTAACAAAGAACAAATGTGTTCAAAGTCATGAGCGGCAACGATGCTAGAAATTTTTGTTGCGGCTTCAAGTAAATGTTGGGACTAGGGCATTCAGCTTAGTGTACCAAACACTCTTTCAGCCTGGATGATCTCGTCGGCCCACTCTCGTCCCTTGATTATCGAATTAATCCAGCGAAGAACTACACATTCACGGCCTCCTGGAAGGTCATTATCTTTGTGACATTAGCATGCAGCCTGAGAAGACGTGAGTCAATTTTTTTGTGTGCTCTTTGGGCTATGTATAGAACGGGGTACCTCAAACTGTTCCGGACTCTATGATCACTTTAAAGCGAAACTCGATCAGGCACAAGAAATTTCAATAGACGTTACCTTGTTTGCAACGAAGATTCCTTCTTCAATGGCTAATATCAGTGGGAATACAAGTACATGATGCATGTAAACTGCATTATGTACTTGTACTCCTCTGAAATATCAATGCAGTAATTTAATCGCTTATTTGCTACGACCTAAAGCGCCTCGACGTAGCTGAGCCGTAACTTGCCATTATCGATGAAGACACCGCAATTGTGAAAAGGTCAGAAGCATCTGATGGACCCTTTTAACCCACTGCATATTCATACCAATTCCACCAGCCCCATGTAATTTTTGTCAGCCCGAGTTTCTCAGCTTTAGCGTCCCATACTCTCGGTGCACGACGCTCAATTTTGTCAAAATAAAACTGCGGATGTTGCTACGAAAAGTGTCCGGGCAAACCTCAGCAAGTCGAATCGAATCTACCGAGGTCGGAGACACTTTATGACAGCATTAACAAAGCACAGGGGTTAGCCCAACTTATTGACATGAATGAGGAAATACGGCAAAGTACATACAGCATTAATCAAGACAAACAGAACGTGATAATACATCATGTCCCAGCACTGCTTAGGAGGATATCCTTTATCGCGCTATCAAATCATCTGACCGTCATTCTGTTGGTTGTCAGCAGTGGCTACAGTGGTCAGTTTATTCAACAAAGCTCACCATCATTTCGCTACAAAGCGTAAATCTCGATCCGAGGGAGTGGCAATCTGCAATACTGATGCGAGATAATCGGGGATAGCGAGGCTGTATTCGCACGTATTACGGCAAAAAACGACGTCGAATGCGACTGAAAGTTTTACGTTAACACAGGTCGGACGTGTGCAAATACGTTTTGATCCACTGGTAGACAATACACAATGCTCGACGATCCGCGCCTTTTCTCTCTTCCAATGTAGCAGCCACCCGACGGTGTGTGTTTCTTGTACTGTATCCTGCACTAGATGCAGGATCTACCGCAATCTGAGTGTCAGTGGGCCAGTGCTGTAAAACATCAGGCTTTGGAAAATGAGATAGCGATACAGTCGCTTTGCAAAATCCGCATAGGATGATATGGACTTATTGCTCCCCACACTTCTTGGCAGTCCAGCAAATGCTGCGTCTGATCGTGGGTAGAGCGTATTGCCTCATCAACTGGCGACGTGGCCAATGTTTCATTCGACAGATTAAAGTCGGAACGACGCAAAGCACATCAACCGCCACATTCGATTGACCCATTATTACCTTTCCTGAAAAGTATTATCAACGAGGATAAATAAATACAATGTTCGTTAGACGATTTGGTAATGACATCGCTGTGAATGACAACACACGGGCGAAATTAATTATAGATGGCTCAAAACCAAGCAAATGTATCCTGAATCTGAAAGCCACAAACAAAGTATTTTATCTGAAGGTATAGGCTTGCGAGGTCCGATTGCGATGACGCGTTCATGGACATTTGCATCAGCTTTGAGTAAAATTATCCAATAAGAAAGTCTTAATGACACATGTGGCTAGTCACGGGCTCAAAATGGGGTATTGATGAGGCTGATATTTGCAGCCTCATCACCAATCTGTCGCTGTCAATTCCTATGAACTTCCGCACGAGCTGATTTCCGCTATAAGGAGACTATGAAAGGGTTGGGCCAAACCAGTATCATTTGCATATGATCGATAAGCTGTCAAGATCAAATCCACTTCAGCGCCAAAATCAGTTTAACATATATAAGCGTTGATTATTTCGGGGGATATCCGCACACCATTCTTTCCAATGACGTTGCCCCCCCAAAAAATCAACGGTAGAAAGACGATTTTTTTGTAATAGCGAGCACAAATTTTTCTCAAGCTTCGCTCCCAGCTATGTGGATATCCATCTTAGACTGCCTGCGCTCCTCGTGGCAATGTACCATAAATTGTCAAGCTAGGATGTGCGTTGGCAGGAAATGGCCCGGCCGGCAACACCACCTAAGAGAACTGGCAAGTCTCTAAAGTAAAACCAGCTTCTTCCAAAACAGCCCGCTTAGATTTTCTACCGCTTAGAGAAGAAAAGCGATATCTCATGACCATTGATACCGATCATCAATTAGAAAAGATCACTGAAAAGGTGCGATTGACAATGCTATTGTTCAAATATCATATCTGACAATCGGCTTTCGAACTAGACTCATGCCTGTATCTTCTTGTCATACGCATGTCCAATTTGCCACTTGTCATTGCAACTCTGAAATAAAAAGCGTCGACGAGTGGGGAAATCTTATCAAATTCGCTTCGTTATTTATCCAGCTGGAGGCGCCTACGTCGTCCAGGTGTTTCCTAGAGCCACTAATATTTGGCATCAAGATTCAAATCAATTATTGTCATCCCATCGAGGGACCCCTTAACACTAAATCAAAAGAATTTGATAGATCTCTGAGGATAGCTGTACTAGTCAGCCTTTTCAGTGCTCAGCGCGTATGAATTATCTATGCCTAATGACAAGTCCGGCCCATACTCCGCTTTCAGCCTTACCATGTCAGTGACCTCACCGATGCTTCTAATTAAGAGGGAGTTTTTGCCAAGGGCTAGAGGGAAAGAATTACACCCTGTGACTACCCCACAAACTCAACCATAGCAGCATCATCGCCACAAACCCGCGAAGCTTTTCTGCTTTGTACGGTGGGCAGGTCGCACGGTAGTGTGAACTCAACAGTACTGATTGATGATCAAATCATATTTTTTGAGCCTGATACTTTTACTTTCAGACTACCGTCGTCTGTCTGGCACAAAATACCGCGAAGCATAGTAGCCCTCGACTCTGTACGAGGAAAATATATTTTTCTAAGCAAATGTCCTACCTGAAACACACTTAAGAAGCTTGAAATGCTTCTGTTTCGGTATGAATATATTTGGGATGCCGATACTTAGTCTATTTTAATCACATATTGGTGTTGCAGCGCTCTGCCACTTCTACCTTCCAGGCAAAGCTCATGCCACCTATCGACATATTTGCTATAAACTTCCGGCATATCTCATGACCTGCACCGAACTATCGCAGCTCCTGCTCACGCCAATATTCCTTCTGCCTGCTAAATAAAAGATATCAAAGGTCCAAAAGGACAAAATTTGGTGCAATTAAAAATCAACGAATTTCGGTCGATTCATGTCCGAAGGTAATCAAGGCAAGAGATACATAAAGTGGGGGCTTACTTAGACTATCAAGGACTAGACAGTGATTCACTCTAACTGAGTATCCAATCTAAATGATAAGCCTCATATTTTCATCTATACCCTCGGCGCAAGGCGCATAAATATCGTATCCGTGTTTGACATTCTTTATGAAATCATTTACTGCCTACTATTTTCAACAGTGACGCATTTATAATGTCCGCATGAAAATAATAATCTTTAAATTGTTCTCACGGCTTCGCTAAGCCCCAAATATTGCCGTCGACGTCCCGCAACCCTAGTGTGCTTGCCCCACGCTTAAAAAACACTGCTTATGAGACTGGGTCTCATAAGCAGTGTTTTGCATTTCTCTACCGCGCTCGTTACGCTTCGACCACCACGCTTTAACCGGCTCTTGTGGCACGGAAGTTGGGCTTTGCCTTAAATGCACCCCCATAGCATCTTCTAGGGACTGGGTGAGCGCGAAAGGGCTTGGTGCGGGATTTACCTGTTTCAAGACTTCGAAACTAATGGCGACGATTTTCACCAAAGAAAGGGTCTACTGTCCTCGTGGAATCAAACGTTTGAAACCCTTGGACACAGCTCAATTATACTGCACTCTTTGACGGGTGGACGAGCGTATACGCTTTGTCTGGTCGGAAATGACCGCGACACGTGCCCCTCTAGTCCTTTTCATGTCGAAAACGCCGCTTGAACAGAGTAGTGATATGCCAGTGCTCATTCTCGCGTAAGGCTTCCATGATTGGAAAGCATTGGCACATCTTGCTGTTGCTCCGTCTGGTTATTGTGAGTCACCAGGCATGTTATCGTTATGCGTCAAGCATAAGGCTTAAGCTTATAAATTGTTATCACGAGAGTAATTAGTCAATATTTTTATTTTACTCTCATAGGGTCACGTTTTATCACAACTCGGTCATCTTTTACACTAACCGTGGTATTAATTGCAACGGAATCGACGTAATTTCGCGCAGAGGGAGTTCTGACTCAAAGACTTCGCACTCAACTCACGCAAAGAATGAGTTTCAGCGACCCAACCAATAGCCGCTTTTGCCACTTGGTCGTTGTTTGATTTTTATTAAGAGTGATATATAATCCAATACTTTCTTCAGTTTAATTTGTACTAAAAACATCTATTTCACTATATTCAATTATGAAATTGTACGTATATCATGACGCGATTTTGATAGCCCACGCGTCTTACCGTGCCTTTCCTTTGCGGAGTCCCATTATCTCATTATTTCCATGCTCCAATACCCCTGAATTTTGCATAATATCTATAAGTGTGTTGCATTATCGCGATAACGTGTAAAGTGCGTGTACCTTCTATACGATGATATCCTGTTATCGTGACCCGCAGAGTGTAAAAACGATATGCAAGGTACAGGAATATACAATGGGTAGAAAACAAAATTAGTCACGCGCTTAATAACTTTCTATACTTATATCGTGCCAGTATGTGGAAGGGTCAAAAGTGCCCGGACATTATCATTTTTAGTAACCGTAGAGGCATGTTTGGTGACATACAAGAAGTGGAAGCATGTTCTCTAACACTATCGAAGGCCGGCGATAGTTCGGAGACTATCCTTCACAACGCGGTCAAGTGTCTGTTATGACCATTGATCTGCACTCATTTCGCGGTGGAAATGTCGCTGCCAGCTGCGGGTGCGTCATTCTGCTCAGATGGCTCTCAGAATCCGCGATGACAGAGAAGAATGAAGATAGATTCATTCTACGGGACTAGGGACCCTATGCCGTAACCGGCAAATTGGCCAACGGCGCCGGCGTACGCGCCACGAATTTATTCTGTTCGAACAAATATGTGCGGGTCTATACAATCATACACATTGGGCCACGAGCCCCAGTAAATTTTTCTCATGTCTTTTCTTTACCGGATGGCCATTAGATAGCTTTCGTGACGTATCTGTATCCATTTATGGTGTATGTACAAATAACACTATAGTTTCTCTTGGTTAATTGGGAGCTTGAGAAATTCTAAGGTGACGAAATGTTATCAAGTATCGTGATCAGTACCCAGTAGGTTGATGGCAAAGACATAAGGTGATAGCCCCACGATAAGAATTATATAGTTCTTTTTTTATGATAGATAAAGATATTAGATAAAGAGCCTTTAAGTATAAATATCCAATCCCAGCTCGCAAATGCACAATATAGGTAAATTCTCGTGGTTTTCACGACTACGGACAAACGTATCGTCGTAGCAGCTGTGTCATTAGACGATGGACGTTGAAGGTGCATTTGTTAACCTCCGATGTACAAGTGGCCACTACCAGAGCATGCCGCTCAAGATTCTTAATACATCAAGAATAATTGCGCCGGCTGTCATGAACCATTGGATGTATTCACTGCCTGGGTCAAGATTCATAACCATTTTATGACGGACCATGATATTTTGTCGCACAATTTTCTACAAATTCACTTGCACCGGAATGGTTGATACATTAATCTACTGCTTGGAATTCCACCGTCACGTATGTTCTGAAACATACAGGAACCGCCGAGCACCAACTGACTACTCCAATCGTCTTTCGGCCTATTTTACATATATATTAAGGGTAATTGCTCAAATTCTATGAGAGTTTCTTGGTAGTGACGATCTCATCGGACTGCCTGGTCATTTCATCCACAAGCAAATTGGCTTCTTGCCACAAGTTTGTGGAGATCAACAGTTTACACAGTGCGTGCTTCACTTGGTCACCGGTGCCATATGCAGTGGCAAGAATTATATCAGGGTCTGCATGCTTTATTCGTGATAAACGGCTGCTTGAATGCACAAGAGATTGGTTTGACATACTGTTGTTCCATTCTGTCCAAGGCTAACCTCGGTCCATTTGCAAATATTCCAATCAATTGGATTAACAATGAAGACAGAGTCTTTTGGTAACAACTTTGGCTCTTCGAGATTGGCACTAACACTATAGACATAGACGTACTGCAGTCATTCACTATATCAGTGATGTTATCTGGAGACAAAGGCATATAGTTGCTAGTGTCCAGCCTACTTGCAGATCGCGCTTCACAGCCAGTCAATTCTACCTTCTGAGCTTTCAGCTTTGCACTTTCGCCAAACGTGATTCGGCTTCCTTATCTATGTAAGTTCATACTCAGCAGAGTTCCACAAGTAAAGAAGCGCAAAGTGTCATATGCTCTTGATTTTCAGCCGGTCAATGGCTGGAAGAGTTCTTGCTAATGTAATCTATATGATGTCATTGCATCACGAGTCTAGTTGTACAACTGAACAGCATTCCACGTTGTCAAAGCCCTCAAAGAGTGTAGGAAAGCTCCGATGAGCTTATACCGATCACCCGAGGCTGTAATTCCCATATGTCTTTAGCAGAGTCACGGTCTTTGTGGCTGCCTCAATTTAATCGGGGAGATGCTGACCACTAGGGCTATAATAACTATCAGAGTTCGCGCTTACAATAGCAGAGTGGATGGGTTCAATAGCTACCATTCGGTAGCTAAACATGAGCGATTTTGTAAAACAAGATGATGTATATCAAAGCGAGTCAAACGTACAATGTAAATATATATATAAATTGAATAGCATTATATGAATCGCAGATGATGAGGCTAATTACCCACGTGACTTACAGACCCCTTGTGTACAAGCGCACCGCCTTCGAACGTTCGGATTACCATTCGTGATACTTCGTCACTGTATGTCGCTTTGGTACTAGACGGCCTTCTAGGAGTGTTATAAACTCTGGGCTGGAATGTGCTTGCAAAGCCACTTCTTACGCACGTCTTGCTCCGGGTGTGACTGGAAGGTTCACAGCCATAAAGTACGAAATTTGCGGACGGTTTGAAGTAGGGTTTATTGCAAAAGGTGATATAAACCGAAAATATTTGCGAGATGTGATACAATTTTTTTTAACACCAAAATATCGATACCTGGTTAAATCACCGAGTGTAGTCATTCTTGATTCACCGTTACATTGAAGGCGTGTGCCATGGAGATGGAGGAACTCAAACAGAAGTGATGGGCTGACGGCAAGGAGGTTGTGCGAGCAATTAAAGATGTCGCATTAGCACAAGGGAAGTGTGCAGTCGTCATCAACAGAGAGGGAGCGTTTAGTTTATGACAGTGTGACAGTGCAACTATTGGTTGTGAGTGCCACGTTCGTCTAGCACGATTTCGATTCAAGAATCACACAGAAGACTGGCAAGTGACGGGAGGCAACCTCGATCACTAAAACTGTGTTAGTGTGGCTAAGCCATCACGAATCTAGTTAGCCAACAACCCTGTGGTCCGTGGTGCACTTGCAGCTAGCCCAGCTACATCAACCAACGCTCTCGTCGCACAGCTCTGACACTACCTAATAGTTACACTGTCACACTGTAATAAATGAAACGCCCCCCCCTCTGTTGATGACGAATGCTCACTTCCCTTGTGCTAGTGCAACATCTTTGATTGCTCGCACAGCCTCCTTGCCGTTAGTCCATATATTCTGCTTAAGCTCCTCCATCTTCATTGCACACGCCTTCAATGTAACGGTGAATCAAGAATGGCTACACTCGGTAATTTTACCAGGTCTCGTGTTTTAAGTGTTTAAAAAATAATAGTGTCACATCTCGCGAATATTTTCGATTTGTATCACCTTTTACAATAAACTTTTTAACATATTACTCATGGCGTGATCTGGAGAAAGGTCAACGTGGCATTTTTGCTTACTGTAGAGGAAGCTGACCTCCTTGAGCCAGGTCCAATTTGTTTGTAATGAGGCAGACATAGCCGTGTTTCACCGAAAGGAGTCCTGAGTTTTCCGCCGATAGAAAAGGGTGTTGAGCTCGACATTCGCGTAGCGGAAAAGCTGGGTACAACTTAGACTTGCTCCACGTGATGACGGGGGCGTTTGCCCTGAACTCATAATTTTTTTGGTATTTGATGCATGAGAGTGGTCTCCCAATGCATGTATGCTCAGAAGATCAGACACGGTGAAGCGCAGAGAGCGGAGTGGAATTGTAGGCGCAGTCGCTCAGTCGAGAGCGGTTAGTTTAGCGCAGTCGTCGCAACAATGCAAAATAAATGTGAACCCAGCGTAGTTCAAATCTTCGTTAAGGAGGGTAAGTCTCTGTACTTAAGCTTGATACAATTGTATACAATTTTTATAATTACAACTCAATACGATTATACAAAATTAATATTACACTTTACGTATTTGGAAATATCGGTGGAAACTTTGAAGGTGCTTGCTACATGTCAAAATTTGTCATAAGAGATGATAAACGTATATAATTAGCTTTGATGTAAAGCATTTGTCCTCTTGACAAAGTAGGAGTGTAAGTTACCTGAAGGCTCTGAAATTCCGCTTCTGGTTGTAGCGCACAAGCTTAACCTTATATATTACATTCAAAGATTTTTCTGTGCTAGTGCACGGGAACCCCGTTTGCGCGTCATGTCAGCGGGTAACATTCCGATGATCCCCAAGATGAGCCACAAAGCACAGCAGTGATTTTTCAGCTTGTTTCAACTCGAAAGTTTCACTTCATCATCACAAATAAACGCTGTCTCGCTACGAAATATTGTTATCACTGGCCAAATTTGTGTGATGTCTAGTATACATATGTATTCTCGTCTTGTTAATCTTGAACTAAATTAAGGGAGATTAGCGAGACATCGCCGTTACTGTCAGAAAATTAGACTTGACACAAAGACCACGAACCTTGGTCTTTTCATTTGGACTTATCTTCCTTCCTCACACAATGTAGAATCTGGCTGAAATCGTAGTGCTTGACATAAGTATGAGTCTTTTGAATAGTTTTACTTAATAGTACTTGACCTCAGACAAGTGTAGCCAGCTTTTGAGGATCGGGGTTGGATATGATCTAAAGCTCCTGTATTTTCATAAAAACGACACGGTTGATTGCAATGTGAAGTTTTATTCTCGCTAGCTACCGCTCAAGTTCTAATGGTCGATCTATTTCACAGTTTAGCGACCAATGCAATGAATGAATTTTCTCGAGTCCTAAAGCCATAGCTTGATTTGACCAGTTTTGCTGGTAATTTAAAGCAAGAAAATAACACTTGTTGGAGAGCATGAGCGCCTTGTGAATGATGCGGCCTCCGTTATAACAGTCGAATCTCGTACATTGCTTAGCTGAATAGCAGAATCGTTGCATTGCCTAACAACTTTTATAGGTTGCTTTGACAACGCCTTTGCAAGTGCATGGAATCGAATCATTTGAACCACACGACCTGAAAAGTTAAAGCATGAATCTTTTGAATGCCAAAAGCAGATCGAGCCAGCGCCCTGACCTACATTCTTTCGAGGAGGTCAAAGTCAAAATATGGCTTAGGAAAGTATTGGTACTTCGAACCGTGAATGCCGAAACCATCAGCGCTCTTGCTCCGTGTATTATTGTGTCCGTGAAGTATTCTTGCCCATCTTATCGATCTTGCAATCCATGCATAAAGAGATTCTGCCGTCATGCTATCATATGCACGTTAATGGAAAATGGGATATGATCTACCAATTTAGCATTGTTCAGAAGTACCGTTAAGTATAATACCAAGATGTATGATCTGTAACTGCCAAACGATCAATTTGAGCTTCGCAAGTTTTCGTTGACACAGAAGAAGCTCTGCATGATTGAAGTCTAGATGACAGTGCAGTCCGACAGCAAGTGCTGTTGTTCTCTGTTCTATAAGGAGAAAGCTAGTAAGCGAATCGTAAAATGGACTTCTAACGTCCAGCAAGAAAGAGGATAATTTTATCAAATTTGTACAAGCAGAAGAAGTCAAGCACTTACTTAGTATGAAGACCTTTCGGCACTTTGCCGAAAACTCCTTATGCTATTTTCACCACAGCAACTACTTTCAGCCGCGATTGTTGAAGGAATTGGCGCATCTGCAGCAACGGTAGAAGCGATCAGAAGTAGCAAACATGCACAAATCCCAGAATGTAAAAGTTGGCAAAGCGTGAGATTTTGCGTACCAGAACCTAGTTGACAATACAAGCTTGTTCTCTTTTGTATTGGATGTGTACTATAATCTAGCTCAAAAGACTACCACAATATTTTATAAATATTTAATTTAGATCGAAACATTGCACTTAAAATTGCTCGATCGCGCTTGAATTATTGTGACATTTTTAAGGCGTTGAAAGTAATGATACAGTCCCATCTTACCGAAAAAATGTGGGATTACGGTCCTCTCAATAATCTTGAACTACAACTCTCATAACCAGCTTTCATTTGATTGCAACAAATCGTCTTAGCAAGATGTAAAGTAGCTCCTTTGTGTTTGCCCATCTAAGATGCGGCGAAATGGCGTTATCATATTAACTAACGTGGCGTTCACAGTAAACATTGAGTACGGACGTAGTCCTCGGTAATGTGGTCCACACATTATAATTTGATTATTAATAATATTCGATAAATACCATATTTCTATTTCCTTATTTCAGTCTAATTTGAAAAATGCGACCGCATCCATTCTGGCTGACTTGTTTGGCAAAGACGTGCAGTATAAAGCTTCAAAGGAAGTTTTTAAGGTTGGAAAGATCTCATTGTGGTAGAACAATCAATGCACATTTTGGGCTAATGTGCTTAAACTGTGAAATGATTTATCGACCGAGCTTGAATGGCATATTGCAAGCTGCGTACAAGGAGAACTTAGATTGTTATATAATAGTGATGGTGAAATTAAATGTCAGGAAAAGCCGTTTCTACTGTCAGCGACCGAAACATCAAGGTATCTTCCAGCAAGCGTTCGCCGTTTGTTTTTAACCTAAATCAGGCCCGTAATAGAATGATATTATCACCATTGATGCGACGGCTTAGCCTAAGGCTCCGAAGGATTTGCTTTGCTCCGTGATGCTTACATCATGATTCCATACAAGGTCTCGATGAACAATGATTCTGTTGCCCAAACTATTGCTGCGTTGTCACTCGAGCTAAATGGTATGTCCATTGTATCTATAGCTGACGTGAGGGATAGTTGAGCCTGCATCGCCAGCTGTAGCAGCAGCTGTGATGTAAACTACTGAATTGAGAAAAAGAGAAGACTCATCTTCATGCCTTTCAACATACTGAGGACTGTATCCAGTTTGAGCAAGAACATTGTTCCAGAACCGCTTTACTATTAAACCCTCCTACTTCAAGTGCCGTTTTCGCTGCCATTTGGTCTTCGGTTGGTGGTGCATCTGCTTCTACTATCATTTCGAATCAAACTGCTTCGTAGCTGGTACTTCTACGGCTAATGCAATTATGGGTACTTGAAACTAAACGCTCTAGGTCAACCTAACGCACCCTATCTTCCGTAAGGTTGATCTCAAGGCTAGTCCTCAGATCCGATTACGTTTTCTCGCGAATCAGGGTACAGCTGTTGTCGCTGTGGATGCTTCTAATATATGTCGCGAGCTTCTGTTTTTCGTCTCTTTTGTTGCCCAATAATGATCGCCAGGTGATCTTATGGCCAGTGTTCTTGTCACTCCCACTAATTACAGGGGAAGGTCATATATTCTCTTGGGTCATCTATTGATAAAACCTACATGCCTTTCACGAATATTCGATTGCATGTACTTTTGTACATATAGAAAATCCCCAGGCTAATATATTCAAGCCTCAATAGCTGTCATGCTTAGTGGTTCTATCATAGAGCTAGTATAGGTAATATTTCTTTCGACCTACAACTATCCGCGAGTGTTAAAAATTCTAATATAGCCGAGATTCATTCGACAAGTCTGCTTGAGAGTTTTACCACGATACTTGTCCTCTATGAGTTATCTTTGGAGCGAAAGTGTAGAGTTTGATATCCTCGCTAATGCTAAGATTTGGTTGGTTGTGTATCCATCGAGGGTGAGATGTATATATTTCTTCGATTAGCTTGCCCTTGCGCTTTAATATGGAAGTTCGAACGACATGTAACTTGTTGGTCTCTATACACCCTGTTGATTTTTAAGTAGCTTTCACACCGTTTACTACAGTCTGGACCACCAACTGTGGATATGAAGTGTTCAAATTTTGCTTTGCAAAGTTTTAATCGACGATCCGCACAAACAAGTGATTTTAGTATTCATTGGAACTGGAATGTGTTTTTTCATCCTGACTTTTGGTGAGAAAATTTCAGTGGGCGGAAATTTCGATAATCGATACGTTCTTCGATTGCTTTGCCTTCCACTTGAATCCACAATTCAAAATGCAATTGCACGTTCCTGAAACGCGTCTTAGCTGGAAGACAATTAGAAATGTTGTCAATGACACAAACACCCTGTATCATATCAACGAGATTCTGAAATACTTACCATGGACGTCGTTTTCATGAGTCTACCAAAGTCAACCAATACAACATTGTGATGCTCAGATATCTCGCGCGTAGAAAAGTATAATTGGTGTGAAACCTAAAATGTGATGTCACCTCGGCATACTACATGGCATTGTATACCGACTATAGCTTATCTTTGATTGCTTCGAGATAAAAACATTTTATCTGACCGGGAAATGTACTACCTAGTACATTTACCGGTCAGATAAACTACTTAGTACTAGGTAGTACAAGAAACCGGCTTACTTCACTCTCTGAGCGTTACATGCTGATGTTGGTACTTGAAGGTTGGGTACAACTGAAGCCATATTGAATGAGCCCTGTGTTTGAGCTTCAATATTTGGCGGTAGCAAAAACGGTAATTTGGGTGTCGTGTAGCCATAGAACCGATACTGCTCGTTCTTTGCTTAGCTATCAAGTCCACCACAATATCCCACTGGTACTCTCCTTTTAAAGGACAGATTCGCGTTTCCAGATAGACCACGGGCTGACAAAGAGGAGAGAACCAAGTCGTTCCGCTCCAAATGATGGCACAAGCATGCTCAAAACCTTGATCATCAAGAGCACCAGGGACATCAAATGCGTCAAGACTCATCGGGTCATTCTCATTAAGAAATATTGTATATCGAACAAACTCTTTATCTCGTGGCAAAGCAACTTCGAAGATTGCGAAAGCGAACGCAGCCGAACTGCGCCTGCATGTGTCACTGCCAGAATATAATTTTTTCCGGCTTCGTCCTAGCTGCTCTACCACAACTTGGGGCTCGTCGAATTTGTCTGACGCTGCCGTTCGTGGAGATTTACGGTGTGGTTGCTTTGCAACACTAATACATTGGTGGCCTTCCTTTTTCTCTTCACGGTTTGGATTCTCAGATACCGTTAAAATATCTTCGTGAAGTCAGCACTCAAGTGTTCAGTGAATGTGTCGTCGATCCACTGGTGCAAGTTCGTCAGCAGATACAAGTGCGTTGACGTGATGTCCACAACCACTGCTGTTCCTCAGCAAACATCTTCTCCGGAAGCTCTGACGATTGACTTCCACATATTCAATAAAACTTGAGAATCCACGGTAGACAATTCCACGACACGCACCGGAATTACCATAAGCACGTGAACTTGACCTTTAACCGGTTAAACATTATTGCCGAGGTGATTTATATTTTTGATCCACAGTGTAGGATTCTTCTGCACGCGTCATTGCGAGTGTCCACGTTCTTCGAGCGCCACAGCTGCCGCGACAGCCACATCAAGCCACACGCTGCTCTTCGTCTTCTCCAGGAAGAGCTGCAACTTTTTTGCGTCGATGCTCTTAAAGTCATTCGTCTTTTACGCCTTTATCGCGTCCTTCAACGCTTAGAGTGACAAAATATCGTCAACATTCACAAAGAGAATGCGCTTTCCGCACTAACGAGAACTATATCATGTCAGGAAATTGCGTCCTGCCGTGTCGAAAGAAGAGTTTAGGAATGTTCTCGATGGTAAATTACGGTAAGAATAGAAATTGCCGGCTTAATGTTCCATGACAAATACTAGCATCCAGCGGCAATAGAATTTTTCTTCGTCTGGTGTTGCTGGAGCGTCCATTTTGTGTGCACTCACCTCTCCATAATCGTGTTAGCCTCTGCTAGAGTAGCCTTGGCTTTCAGTGCACCATGCCTAACGGGTTCGAAAGCAATTTTCGTGTAACAGACAACAATTCTTATCGTCGCATTATTACGACGTTCATGCTAGCGCTGCACTCTTGCTGCTAAGATCATATATTCCTTGCGTTGCTCCATTCGTTCTACCTCCTGTTCTAAAAGAAACGTGTTGCAATGATTTCTCTCTGGATTGAAAGAAGAGTGGCTTCTGCTTCTCAACTCTTTTTAATCGCCTAAGTCAAATTGTACTCCTTAAAGTACTTTATCGAGCTTCTACAGTTTGAATAGTTAGAAATTCCCATTCTTTCCTAGCTAGCATTTTCCAATCGTGCAAAACAGAATTTATTCATTCTATAACCAAATGTGTAAAAGATTGCACATCACTTTAGTTGGTAATGGTTTACGTACCGCACAGTATAGTACGTAAACATTACACTAGTGCCCTAGGACTCTCACTACTATCAAAGTATTGATGAGGTATAGGGAGTGTCCGTAGGACCTAGCCTCACACTATGCAATATATAGGGTAAAAAAATCGAAGACAGGAAAACCAATAGATTAAGTTTTAATAAGTTGTTTTGGGCTGAGCTTTTATATATCTGAGGCGAAGTCAGTGCTTAGTCACATTACAAGCTCTTAACGCGGACTAATTGAGTCCAGCTTTTTCTGTGCGAGGTGCACGCCAGCTCCGTTGGCGTAGGACTTGTCGCTAATTTGACAGCCATGTCTTACTAGATTATTTGTTAGGACGGGACTCAACTGTTGAGTCCTCAGGACAAGTACACATGCTAAATAAGACTTCGTGTGTGGTTGGACAAAGAAATGATAAGGTCCACGTGACTAATGAATTCACTAGGAATTCATAAGCGCTAGTGATCCTCCCTAGGAGAGCCTGAACCAGGTATAAATGGCGCCACAGTTGGCTCCCACCGTAAGAACAGTAATGTAATGCTTCCAATCTCTCAAGGGCACAAACGGCGAAAACCGCTTTCTCTGAATTGTAGGATTGCGATAGTCACGATATTAGCAGTCATTGCACTAGTGGTTTTGTGGCTATGATATAACGCACAAGAATGGACACCCATGTGCAGTATCTCTGTAAGACTGTAAGAGAGGTATTCCCAGCGTGGAAACCCATGAAGCGACATACGTTGCGGGTGTTCGCCCACCAAACAAGGAGTACCGTGTGCGAAACTATGTCCACTCGTCAATGGAAGGGGCAAATTAGATTGCTATTTTTCAGCAAATTGGACCATGATGGCGGGAGACTTTCCGTAAGAAACGGTAGCGACTACAATATTCGTAAAAGTCTCCAAAAGTGCAGCTCTTTTCGAGACCTTCCTCGTCCAATCGGTCTCTTATGTCTTAGCGATGGGTGCTTTGTAAATTCCAAAGTACAACTTATGTATCCCATAGGTCGGTTTGAATTCCAAAGGTGAAGCCTCTATAAGCGCGCCAAAGGTCACGAAGTTCAGCCACACCAATGATGAAAATACTACTTGTCAGTTGCAGAGCATCACTGCATTACTCGCCAAAATCACGTGTTTTGTAATCTCAGAAATTTACGCCTTGTGTACCCCTAAAGCCTCGGGCACCAAGGGAAGTTCGTCCAACAAATCCTCGTAGCAGAACGCCGAGTCCCATTTGGCGTAGATCGGAGCGTTGTGAATGTTGTGAGTTCGTTTATACTTTGTTTAATTGAGGCTACTGAGTCCAAGCCCTAAAAGGAGAGACCCTTTAGGAACGGTGGAGCTTTAACCAAAGGTTGCGGAATTTTATCATAGACCTGAGTTTCTATGCTGTAGATAGCCCTGGTCGATTCAAATGCGTCGTGCGTCGTGCAATTGCTCCACAGTAACAATACGCGGGGGCATTGACTATCCTGAATATAGACAGATACGATATCCACTCGACGGAATACTGCTTACAGTATCGAGCGTTATTAATTTTCTTGTGATGTCTGAAGAATCTGACAGCGTGGAACGCTGTATGGTCTTACATTGGGAACTAAAATTCGATCTCATCTAAGGTATAGCCCCACTGGACGCCATATGGCATTAATGCATCAAATCTCAAAAAGTAAGGTGACACGAACTTTTATCGTAGTGGAGGTGTGGTGAGTCATACCGAGTAATCAGAAACACCTTGGTGCAGATATTATGCAGGAATAGCTATAATTCACTGTGATTCACTGCTCAAATTACTCAAAACGATGCTGCTGAGCGCCATAAGTAATATTTTAGACGCAGAGCAGCAGCGAGCTGCATTATCAGAGTGAGACAGGATGAAGCGACCATTATCGCAATCTCCCATGTGTGTATCTGGAGCATATGGTGTAAGTAGGGATGTCATGGGCTGACGCTGGGGGAATAGGTACGTGTCGCGTTGTCCAGCGACAGATTTGGTAAGAACAGGTGACATTAAGTTTCAGATAAAGGGTCAGGATTGGAGATATGGCGGATAGTCCTTCCTTCTTAAGAATTTACATTAGTGCTGCGTTCTCGCTATCATGTGACACACCTACTGTGCGGAGCACTATAGTTTCATGGGTCGGAATTGTTGAGTCGTGAATAGATAATCGATGCATTCTCAAGCAGAAGCAATCGATGAGCATAAATTTATGGCTGTTTTAAGGAGCGATTGCATGCATATATGTGACAGTGAAACCATCAGATCAAAACTGTTGGTGTCCAAAGCTGAGCTAAATATCCGTTATAGATAGTCCCATGTGGACACTTGCAAAACACTAAATGCAAATTAGTGGACAGCCTCCGAAACCCTGTGGATCTTTGTTAAAGAAATACCGTGGTTTTGATACCATGAGGATGTTGCAGATTGGTTCTTACATAATGTAAATGACTTGGTATCCGGATTCAAATATTGCCTAAAACATCAATGGCCCTTCTTA